ACTCTTGTCCACAAGAAAACTGAAGTAATGGAACTGTTTGGAATACCTCAACATCCCAAATTCTAAAGACACACAACACCATGGTATGAAAAATGATTCAGGACAAACATTCAGAAAGCATTTTGTTGGAAACGTGAAACTTTTTTGTTAGGACTCCATAAAATAATAGTTATTTAAGAGACTTCCTATACAATTTCAGCCAATACCAGTCCAATATCGTTTTACTTTAAATGTTCACACAGCTGAAATTACTGGGGGTTTTTGTTGTTCAAGATGTTTGGTTGATTGTTTGGTCTGGGTTTTTTCTTGCTTTGGCACATCTTTTCCTGCGGTAACTTCTTTTAGAATAAAACTGCTGTGAAACTCTCGCATCTTTGAAAGGTATTTCTAGAAATAGCCACTTCTTTTTTTTCCTGAATTGCTTCTCACAAAACCAGCTCATCTAATGGTTTCCCCTAATGTCACACTCCAGCAGGAAATTACACCACTTACTGGAGATTAGACCTTAGTTTGCAGCAGGAGGAGGAAATCTAAAGCACCACCAATCAAACAGTCAAATACTATTATATCTAATCTTTAGACACAGAACTGAAGATTTTAAAAAATAACATGATATAACTCAAGCCTGAGAAACAGGTTATTTCACTGAATGTTTAGGGTCCTACCCTCTGATTAATACCAGCCTTCTGGAAGATTGATACCCCCGTGTAATTCTGAGAAACACAGAGTCCTCTGAATGGCTCCTGAGGACTGAGCTCTGTTCACCTGGACATTTCTTTGGGAGCTGACACATCATCTCCTGCTCCTCAGATCTGCACAAGGTGCAGACAGATCCCCAGGCTCAAAGTAGGCAATAATAAAAGAAACTGCTCTCCTAATACAGAAACCCACAATTAAATCAGAATTGCTCTGCTCTTCCAAGAATGGAGAAAATATTCCTTTTCACATTTGTGAAAACACTGTGTTGACTTGTTATAGACAGCAATGACCTTTACCAGGTCAGCTAACAACTTTCTTTAGTCACATGTATTTCTTGTATTTTAATAACACCATATATTTTCATGTATTCTGCTATAATGGCATCGATGCACATAAAAAAACAAAATTCATAAAGAAAATTTTTAATTCCTTAAATGAAAATATTAAGAATCATTAAAGCCTTTTCTATTTTTCAATATTTTAGCCATTATCTGTCGAGACCGGGTAGAAACCAGCAAGACCTTGCTGTGGCATTCACTTCCTATATTTGCAAGATCAGTGCCAGAGGGTGTGTGGAAATGCCCTACATTTATTTCAGCCCTGTCAGAAAATAATAACCACCATACTCTTGTAACCATAATACAACCTTCCTTTTTATCCCTTTTTCTCTCAATTTTCCCACATCTATGCCTGCCCAAACCACCCTGGTCCCTTCCTCTCCCCACATTTGCTTCCTAAACATCCCACAAGTCTTGAATGATTCTGAAATGCTTTCCCCTGCATCCAATAATAATTCCTAAATGCTGGCAGGCAGCAAACACTCCATCTCCAGAGTGGTCCAAAGTGTCCCTTACTCCTGGTGCTGGCTGCCTCCATCCTGGCCCTGGGGCTGAGGCTGGTGACAGCCCTGGCAGGAGCTGACTCAAGGGCTCCATTCCCAGACCAAGCTGTTGGGGTTCCCCTGCCTGCTGCTGTGCCTCTGCCCTCCTTTGCATGTGTGTGCACAAGGAGCTGAGCCTTTTATCACACAACTTTACATAGCCTACTCCTGTTTCCCTTTTCCTATCCTCTCATCCCTCTTTGAAAACATCCTGTTTATCTCTTCTTTTTTAAAAAAGAAATTTTGTTTATTGCTGGACTTACATTTCTTTGTATGACAAGTGACTATGTACTGATGATTTCCACACCCAATTCTCCATTATTTTCAAGTGATATCTCAGTGGGCCTTTCTCCCAAGGCCTCTCAAACTGTGCTCCAACCATATGTCTTGAGCAAACACGCAAAGCTTTCTGTGCTGAACATGACAGTTTTGCAAGCTTCTATAAATGTAATCAATATGGACTATTAACTGTACCAGTCTTGAATTTATCCTTACATCTGTTGCTCATTTCACAACACCCATTGAGATCACATATGAAACATCAGAACAAAGGGCAAAGTCACATCACGTTGAGTTTTAACACCACCGCCTCATCTTGTTCTTAGTTTTATGTGTTTGAGAAATCAGAGTAAATGACTACTTAATGCAATAATGTGCCCCTTTAAAATATTCTGTATTCAACACAGACCAAACCTGATTTAATATGCTCTCCAAACACTGCTCTAAATCTCTCACACACGAAGAAAAAACTATTCAATGCAGTTTTTTCCTATAGCTCATGAGTGAAAGCCATCATTTCCATTCGCACTCTTTTCCTTGAAGTCTACATCACCATGAAGTGTCTGTGACCATTAACTTTTAAAATAACCTGTGTACTTTTATTCACCTTATTTCTATGACAAGAGACCTCACAGCAAGGATGGAATAACAATATGGAAACTAACCATCTAATCCAACTGGACACACTTTATTGAAGTCTTATTAGTTCCATGTGTAAGAGGAAACTAAAGCCAACTGAAATCTCTGATTTTTGGCATTCTCAGTATGTATTGTATCCAGCAAGAGTGAATTTCACTTTTTGTTTTTATTTTTACAGTGCAGTAATATTAGACATATGGATTTAACTTGATCATTTTGAGATCAAGTTTTTTAACTGAGCATGAAAAGCAAAGTCTTTATCATGCCCAAAGCAATACTGTTCTTTAAGAAGTTGTAATGCTTTGTAAATATTATTCTCATCGCTTTTTTCAGTATATTCATGAAAGGAATTCCTATCAAAATTTTAGTATGGATGAGAGAACCTTTAAGAATGGATATATGAAGTAATGACAATACAGCTATAACACAGATTCAAGTTGACCAATATATATGAAAGAAACTTGTCAAGGATAAATCCAATACCAAAGAGTTATAATCCCATTTATTCTGAGAGAGCATGTGTGATAAATTAACTAATATTTCTCAAGATACAAGGCCTAGTTTCCTAAGAAATATGAACACAAAATTATGAGCAACTACAATAAACCAAATATTTTCTTATGATAATGACAGAAATAAATCTTTACTAAAGCATTTTATACTTTCTATTCTAAATAAGTGATATTTTTCAAGATGCATATCTGATATGAACACCACCACCAAGATGGTCAATCAGGTAAGTAGCTTTTTCAGTGGAGTCTGAGGAGATTAAAAACTCATTTTGTAGTTATAGCAATATATTGAGCATTCCATCCTCTGCCAGTAATATTTACTGTTAAGTATTTTTTCTTTTCAGCTCAATTTTTTTTCCAACACATGCTTTCTTTGTTATGCCAGTAAATTATGCTGTTGATGCACAATTTAGCATAGTTTTCTCCTCGAGTGTTAATAATAACACATGACACTAAAAGACAGGCTCTTCTGGTTGAGTTTATTTCACATTTTTGCAAGAAATTTTTAAAAATCATCACTTTCTACACTGACAGTTGGCAGTACCTTATGACTTTATTTGTCCTAGTTTAACCAAATAAAAGAATGGAAGTCAAATATTAATTATTTAGAAGGATAAATAAACATAGAATCATACACTAATGCAGCCCTCAGAGAACTTGGCTTAGAATCATGGAATGGTTTGGGTTGGTAGGACCTTACAGATCATCCAGTTCCAACCCCCTGCCTTGGTTGCTTCAAGCCCCATCCAACCTGGCCCTGAACACTTTCAGCCATGGGAAGGCCACAACCTCTCTGGGCAACCTGTGCCTCACCACCCTCATAGTAAAGAATTTCTTCTGTATATGTGACCTAAATTTCCCTTCTTTCAGTTTGAACCCATTACTCCTTGTCTTATCACTAACAGTTCCTGATGAAGAGTCCCTCTGTGGCTTCCTTGTAAGACCCCTTCAGATACTGGAAGGTTGCTCTGAGGTCTCCATGCAACCAAATATTTGGTTCTTAATGGAGACAACTTTTTGGTATTAAAAAAATTAATGACCTTAATATAATGATATTAAAATTAATATAACTATTCTTTAAAAGAAATCATACCACAAAGATCAAGAAACATAGTATTCTGATTTGGTATTTAATTCAAAATTACATTCCCAGAACTACTAACTCTATTCCTTCCTACAAAAAGGCTAATTCCCAAGCTTTAATTACAGCCTATATGGTTTATATTTTGTGAATTTTAGAATTCCACTTCTCTCTGATCCTGTAATTTAACTATGCTAGAATAATCAGAAAGTAGCAATCAGGTGATGATGGACACACTTTAGGTGTTTCTATATGACTGATGTGTGTAGGAAAGAAATCAAGGTAAGAGGAATATCTGTATGCAAGTAGAGATATAAAACACATCAGGAATCTGAAAGGGACTCTTACAAAAGTTAAAGCTTCATGCTCCAGGTACTGGAGTACACCTCAGCCTTTCAAGCTCTACACGTGTCTGAGTATCACCAGAACTACACCTGAACCACTTCTGCAGATTCCTTTTCTACTGAGGTCTCTGAGCACTGTGTAATGTCACACTGTACTGTGGTGGACCTAGGCTCTGATTCCAACATTCCTAGAATGTATGCTGAAGAATGCATGTTTTAAGAAGCTTCAGGGACAAACATATGAGAAAAATAAAACAGCACATTAAAAACAGATTATACATACAGATTTTTCCTCTGCATCTGATGACACATTCTCCCTGTTCTGCAGCGAAAGCTAAATTTCTAGCTCAACAGATGCTATGCACAGTGCCTGGTAGGTACATAATTTCTCAGCTGTTCAGATAAAGTAAGGCAAAAGCATCCACAAAACTGAAAATTAATAAAAATGTAGAAGAGAATAACTTGAAAAAAATGAAACTTCAATTTTTAATGTAGTAATAAGTATATTTTCTATAGGTAAACATATTCAGCCATGCAGAACACTTAAAAACAAATAACCTGTGTACCTGAACTGTGGAACTGATTTCAGATGCAAATCCTCCTGTCAAGGGAGCCTCATGGCTAATCAGCAATCGCCCAGTCTTTGCCACCGACTGAAAAAGAGAAACAAAATCCCACAATGTCATCAAATTACAGTTCTGGTGAATTCTCACTCGTACTACTTGCGAATATACGAAACGTGATTTTATTAGCAGCATTAGACCATAGCTACTTTTCCCCTCTTGCATTTTCAGTGAAAGATAAATTATACTAAAAGACTATAAAGAGTAATTAATAGAATGTTTTTCACATTTACTGTCTTTATATATTCAACTCAATTTTAAGCAAATATCACGAATAAAAATTGATTCCACTGTATATGAATTTAGACTATCAATGCAAATGGTAACATTTCTGAAAGAGAAAAAGGCTTTTAACAAGTAGTCAGTACAAACCTGAATCCTGAAAATACTAGAAGACACAAATGTAAAGAAAACCTTTACTGATGTCTCTGCACAACCAGATCCTACATAAAGTCATGAATCATAGCTATTCAGGAAGTAAAATCGTTAAATAAAAATTTTAGCAAGAAAACATGTGGATTAGTGCTGCTTTTTAAAGTTTTATGTGGCATTTAGAAGCAATGTGTTATAATTTTAGGTCTCAATGTTTGTGCAGTTTTTATGTGATCTACTTTATAAATTGATACGCAGCATAATATATACAGAAGGTGCTCTAAGCATCTTAATGAACCAATACTTTGTTCATTGTGAAACACAACAATGAAAGCAAAAGATTTTTAATCTGATGGGAACATAAAGCTTCACCACACCCAAATATTTTGAAGCTTATTGCAACTACACACTCAATTGCCTAAAATTGAACAGTATCAGAAACCTTTCTCCAGAAACATGGCAGCAAAGTCTGTTTCTGTAACACATATTTCAAAATTATAATAATAAAGTGCCTAAAAAGTCTCATAAACTTCTAGACATGCACATCAGAAAAAAATCATATTAATGTATATGTTAATCTTTCAAGAACAGTTAGAGTCTGATATTTAAGATAAGTACATAGTGTACTGCTGATGTACCATTAGTCATCAAGTGGAAAAGCCCAAGACAGCACTAGCTATCAGATCAGACTTGCTGAATACTGTGATCTTCAGTGCAATGTCTACAGTAGCTCATTCTCCAGTCAGGCAGCTCTGTGTTATCTACATGATAGAATACATAAAGGCAATGCCTTTATTATGCAGCTTTCCCTCTGATTCAAGTACTTTTCTAATTCTCTTGCTTTCCTAGCAATGACTCAATCAGTGGCTCTAAGCAACTCATCGACAGATGTACTGGCAACTCACAGGCTACAAACATGATCCATATATTGCACCATGAAGTGGTCTAACAACATCCAGAGCTAAACAGGACAGAAAAAGGCATTTCAACGCCTGGAAAGTAATCCAGATACACAGGCTGATTTCCTGAATGGTTTTTGCCAGCACTGGAAACTCATATCTAAAGAAGCAGAGGCATTAACTGCACTATAAATCTGTCCAATACATCACAACAACAGTTCAACGAACAAAATGTACACTCCAGTCTTCAGCTGATATGATAAAACTGATACAGTTGGGTGCAAGTTGCTATGGCAAAAGTCATACAACTAATCGATTCTAAAGTTTAATTTTGTGGTGGGTTTTGTGGGGTTTTTTAATCCTCTTTTATCTTAAAGAAAGATTCTTTTACATATACTCATTCTGAAGCTTCACATTTTGATACATTGCAAGTTATCACTAAAGCAACAGGTTTCTCAAAATATAACAGTATGAAACACGCACTGTGAGAAAGCAAATAGGAAAATTCACATGGGATAAGGCCAATAATCCAGCAGTCCAGCATCCTATCTCACTTACTCCTAGAGTAAGGATAGGGCCTTTAATGTGCTCCTTCACAGAATCACAGAATCAATCAGGTCAGAAAAGACCTCTGAGATCATCAAGTCCAACCTATGACCTAACACCACCATGTCAACTAGACCATGGCACCAAGTGCCATGTCCATTCACTCCTTAAACACCTTCAGGGATGGAGACTCCACCACCTGCCTCAGCAGACTGTTCCTATGCCAAAAATCCTTCACTGTGTCTCAGCCTCCAATTATCTGAACATCATAGGTTGCGTGTATCCAATATGGTTTCTTGCATTAAGTAGCTGGATAACTTTTCTTTCATCTGTTCTCAAACAGAACCCATGTAAACAATAGAGGAAAAAAAAAGGGGAAAAAAATCTCTTTTTGGATGCCTGCTTCTCCTATATGAGAAATCCTTGGTTTTACATATGATTCCCAAGGGCTTCAAGAACTCCTTGCCTGTAGGAGCTTGTTAAGAGCAAGCAAACAGCTGTTACCACCAAGCATTGCATACAAATCACTCCATCCTGCTAAAACACACACACTATATATATATATATATATATACACACACATATATATGTCACTCCTGATACAAAACCACACTAGTATAGCTTTGTTGCTTTTAGAACCCATCCTAGCTTAGTCAGGGCCAGCATGGATCCCTGCACCACACTGTGCCATGTAGAAATACCTTAAAAATTCTCTCAATGGTTTAACCAGAATCAAAGTGAGCAGAACTGAACCACTACCCTGCACTGCAAATAGAGCCATGGATTTTAAGGGGGGATGCAAGTCATGCAATCTTAATTACAGTATTTCTAGTGCTTGCAAATCCATCACACCTATTGGTAAGTTGTTGCAGTGTTTAAGCGCCTTCCTTGTTAAAATTTTGCACCTTATTTCCAAACTAATTTGGCTAACTTCAAAGCTGTTTGGTCTTATTTTATTTTTGTTTGCTAGAAGGAGACACCATCTATGATCACATTTCTGCTCCCAACATGAATATGTTAAACTGTGATCAAATGGTCTCTTAACCACAATTTTACTAAGCTAAGCAGACCTACATCTAAATCTTTCAGCAAACAGCACACTTCCAATTCCTTCATCATTCTCACAATCTTACCCTGAATCATCTCCAGTTTTCAATGTCCTTTTTGAAGCACACCCATCTGGAACCAGCATTCCAGACTTTTTCAGAACACCACCAAACACAGAGATAATACAGCCTTAGTACTGCAGCACTTGGATGTATGAGACCTTTTGGCCAAGGCATAACAACGTGAGTCCAGCTTTAATTGATGACTGAAATCCCCTGTTCTTGGGAAAGAAGGTTTTGTCCTTAAAGGATAATTGCTTCCTGGAATAAAGATGGAAATATAGTGTACATTTATTATTTCAAGACACAAAATTATATTTGGATATGCTGAAAAATACATTGTATGCCTGAGCCTAGCTCAGTTAATGAGCTTATCTTCTCTTTTATCAGTGAGTGTCTATTTTAGCTGTTTCTTCAGCTGTTTGCTAAATCTAATTATTTATCAGTAACAGTTTTACATGTGTTCCGTATATTTTATAGAAATATTTTTTTTAAAAAACGGTCAAAATCCAACTTTGCAGGACCTTAAGACTTTACTATTTCCATTCACTAACACTGCCCCTTTTGCTTGCTGATCTTTAAAGTCCAGATATACTTCTGAGGGCACTAAGAGATTCTGCAGGAATGTTGTGTCTGGAATTAAATGAAAACGGAAACTTGGTTTTGCCATCTTTAGTAACAGACCATAAAGGGAAGTCAGAGACAACATCCAGGTGTTTAGAGAGCATGGCTCCTCTTTCTGCCATGGTCACTCTGTGCTTTCACAGCCAAGTTCAGGTGATGCAACCTTGGGCTTCTAAAAGGAAGAGGTCCTACCCCGTCCAGAACCTCCAGAAGGCAGCACAGATCCCAGTTATGCCACACCACTGTCACCTGTGGTATATCCAGTCACTACAAAAGAGACTCTAGGGCTTTTGACTACTAAATTAACCCCAAAATAAAACCAGAAGGTAACACTGACTATACTTTTCCACCTTGATCTCATTGTCACGGATGCTTTATGTTGGTGTGATTCACAAGGATGACAACTGATGTCACATCAGAGCAAAAGGCTAATGGTGTGACCACTCTGATAAGGAAATGTAACAAAAACCCAAATGCCTTTGCAAGAAGAATACTTTCAGAGTGCAGTCTGAAGGTTTTCTGAACTGCAGCCCAGCGTTTTTGCAGTGAAGCAGCTGAGCAAATTGCTTTCAACCTCCCTGACCACACTCTTTTTCCAAGAGTTTCTATAATCACTTTTCTGTTCAACTCTCAATTCATCACGTTGGCCACTTCCTCCTCTCCTACACGCACTGGTGACAGAAGAAAACAACACAAGTCTGGCACTTCCAAGTGCTTTGAAATCTAAGTGTTGACACTACCAATAACATATTCTGCCCTTACTTAGGAGTAAGCAGTCTTGAAATGAGTTTGATAGTAAATTGCATTTTACTCTATTCCTCTCCACACATAGCAGCACCACTACTTCCAGTGTAAACCAGCTGCTTCACTCATACAGCAACTGCTTTGAAAGAAATGATCAAAGTCAGAATTTTGTTATAAATGGCTGTTATTTTGTCACAATGGAAAACTGCCTATTTTCTTTAAGAAAATCTTCTTCTCAGATTAAAAAGATTTTCCATCTCTTATAGAAAAGGAATAATTTTGATGTTCACTTTCCCATTTAAATTTTTGCATCCTTTTGACTGTGTTCATTAGAGTCTCTAAACATTTCCTGTATAATTGAAAAACTAGTTTTCCACAATAATTTGAAAAAAGCCAGCAAAAGTACTGAAATTGTATTTGTATTGGATCCCATTTTGCACTAAGCATGTATGAAACAATTATAAAACTGTATAAATATGAATAATAATAGATACGTGCTTTTACCCAAAACACATCAAAATACAGAAGCTTCTAAAGAAAAAAGTACTTGGTAATGTTTCAATAAATGCCTTGTAAAACATTTTTCAGTTTCATTTGTAGATCAGCTTTAATGAATTTGTACTTGGAAAATGTAAAACCTGAGGGAGGCTGCTTACCCCAACCCATTAGTTCTACTTTCCTTTTAATGTTTTAATAACAAACAAAACTGCATAGCAGCATTCTTGGTAGTGAACACCAT